ACATGAGGAGCACACATTTGGGTAGAAACAGTGGGATGGCCGCAAATAATTGTGCTGTAAATTTTCTGAGAAGCATTTTGGTATTTAAAACTTTGTAAAAAGCTAAGATTGTAAGAAAAGAAGTCATAAAAATCTAGATTTGTACAGTTTTTAAGCATCCCACTTCTCAGTGTTTAATAAAGGAAAAACAGAAATTCTTAATCCAAAGTCTTATTTTTGGATGCTGAGACTTTTTGCATTCATAGTAATGATCCCAATACCACAGAGAACGGGAAGAGGGGATGAGAAATGAGCGTTAAAGACTTTCAGTTTAATAACTATGGTCTTTCTGTAGCTACTAGGTACCTAGTACATGAGCACAATATTTAAAAAAAAAAAAAAAGACATCCGGTCTAACTTACTGCAGGTACTGAACATTTGCAGTTTGGGTACTTTTTTGCTTTTTAAGATATGTAGAAATAAAAGGCCTTACTTGCCATTTCACCGAGACCTGATCGTGCCCACTTGTTGCACTGTTTATCCCCTGTCTGTTCACAGTGTGTTCAGGCGCGACCCCAGGGTCGATTACTGTCCTCACCAGGCTCCAGGTCATCGAGCTTCTCTCCCAGCCCACAGCTCCGAGCTCCACGCAGGGCAGGAGTTGGCATCCACCGGGAAGGAGGAAAGCACACTCTGGCCACTGCCGTCGCCACTAGCTGACCTCAGCTCCCTACTGCTGAGTGTGTCCCCGCCTGCCTCTGTGCAGTGGTGAGCAGGTGAAGGGGACAGAAGGAGCTTTTCTGCGACTTGCCAGCTGGTCCCATTTGCTTCCACTGCTAAATGCCAAACCCAAAGCCTTCCTTTGACTAAGGGAGAAGAGAAGAAAATATATTTTTATTTGGCAGCTGAGCACGTGGGGATGAAGGTGACTTTGAGCTGGTCCTTTTTTTGGAGTTCAGAGTTGAGGGGCATGGAGCCAACCCCAACTTTCGGAGCTGGTAGTCCGAATCCTCGAAGCCCTTCAGTGGTTTGTTTGGCATCTCTTGTATCAAGAAGTGCCTTGATGAGTCGATCGTTTCAGGGAGTTCTCAGGAAAGCGTTCTGTGTGTGTTTTCCCTGCCCTCACCCAGGAGGAACGTGCCAGGTATCCACTGCAGAGGTTCTCCTTGCTCTCCAACCCACCCCACTCCAGAAACAGACAGAAGCCAGAGTCAGGTGGATACACAGCACCTTCCCAGGCAGAGAGCGTGGCCACCGAGCCTCATGGCCACCGCTGAGGCCAAGGTCGGTCTCCCTGTGCCTACAGAGAGCTGTACACAGTAGTAACCAGAGGCCTTGGCATCCCCTCCGTGCCCTTGGCCCGTCCTTCTCTTCTTCCTTCAGTCAAAGCAAGTTAAGTTTGTGTAACAAAAACCACCCGGCAAGGACGCTTCACATCCTCTGTTGCATGCAGTGGCATTCCTATGCCAAATGGTGATCAGAAGCTTACCACTCTGGTCTGGATGCCCGTCGGTCACTGTGTGACTTTCTTTCTTCCTTCTCTCCATGTGCTAGATGAACGAAGAATGCATACTTGTGTTTTCAAAGGTATTTTTATGTGTTTTTAAAAACTTTTTAAAATGAACCTGTTACTTGTGTTTCAGCATTTGGAGATTGTGCCCATGTTATTTTTTTAAATGTACGATTACTGCTAAGTTCCATTTGTTTGTTTAACTAAGCTGTGTTTAATTTATGTATAATCTTTATAATATATGTATGTATTACAGTTCCAACTGTCATATTTTTATTACATTTAAATTTTGATCTTGCTGTTATTATAATGCCAGTGAATGTTGCTGAATTCTTTGTATATGCAAATTGCAAGATCTAAAACATTCTGATCCAAGGATAAATCTTTACTTTGACTACCAGCCTGAGTCTTTTTTTTTTTTTTTTTCACATTTTCTTATTTCATTCCTGTAACTTAAATTGTTTTAGACAAGACATGCATTAGCGGGCTGTATGTGTGCTTCAGTAATAGAACAACTTCCTAACATGCATGAAGCTCCTGCTTTGATCCCTCGTGCCACAAAAAAAGGACATGTATTTGGAGGTAGGAACTCATTGGCTTATATAGATGATGTATTTTTAAGATTTTTAAAGCTTAACTCCAACCGAGCACAGACATTTCCATTGAACATAAGTAGACTATACAGTCTCAGGTTGGCCCAGCTCTCAACTGGCCTGCAGAAGGTTTGACACACTTGCAAGGAGCCTTTTTTACTCCCAGAGTCCAGCTAGAGCTGTGAGCTTGGAAAGTGGTGTCTTGGTTACTTTTCTCTCATTGCAGGGACAAAATACCCAACATCCAAAATGAAGGAAGGAAAGTTTTATTTAGCTCACAGTTAGTGGAGGTTTCAGTCCATACTCAGCTGGCTCCAAGGCAGAGCGGCACATGGCAGAGGGCAGCAGTTCATGGTGGGGGAAGACAGCAAAATAGCAAGAGCAAAAAGGGAGGAGCAGCGGCAGCAGCAGCACAGAGCAGGCCTCTCTCCCTTCCTTATGTTGCATTCAGGCTGTCCATGAGTGTGGCACTCAAATCTATAATCCCAGCAGCACTCATACCCATAACCCCAGCATTGGATCCTGGATTAATCACAAACCCTAGAAGCTGCCCCAATGATTGCATGAGGCTTTGGGGGAGCGACTACACATGAATCGTAACATGGTGCCCCAGAATTTCTGAGGAAGATTGGAAGCATGCTTAGAGGGCCAAAAGCAGATAGAATCAGAAAATGTTGCCAACAGTGTTTCTCCAAACCCCCACAGCCTTCAGCTGCCTTTACCAGCCCTCCCCAAGCACTTCCTTAGATCTCTGATGCTAATCAGAACTCCTTACCTCCTTTCCCACCCCATCCTGTTACCTCCTATGTCCTAGGCCCTATGTGGAATTTTTTTTTTAATTTTTATTTATTTGTGTGTGTGTGTGTGTGTGTGTG